GAGCTCGTTTACAAAATAAACAGATTTTATTGATTTCTTTAAATATTTTTTGTAGTTTTGTATCATTTAAGATCCCTTCTTTTAAGTAGCATTGTTTAAGTCAAAGGAATGCTAAATACTGGGGAACTAAGCGTTTGAAAAAAAAGACACCAACTTCCAACGCGATTTCCTCGAACTATGAATTTTGCTCCCTGTGGAGGAATTTGTCTCTTCGTGAAAACGGTGACTATTTTATCAAAGTCCAAAGTTGAACTGCAACATAACACACGTGCAGGATCAAGCATGCATTGTTTCAGTTGCACAATCTATTTCTTATTTTATGCAAGCCATCCAAAGAATATTTGTCGTACCTTACCTAAACACTGTAAAGGCTACGGAAGTCACACTGTCAGGACCCCCCCCCCGATAGACCGGATAGCTATTGGTAAAGCGTTGGCAACGTATCACGGCACGTGAATCTGGAAGAATGCTGATGTGTACTTGAATGGTATTGATTTGACTCTTGTTGATGTTGACTCAATTTATAATAGAGCTATACATCATATTTCTTAACTCCTCCTCTTTGGTCTTTCTGTATAATACACTTATTCTTCCATATCTCGGCTACTGAAATATCGTCTGGGCACAGCCACGCAGTTGTAAGCTACAACCTTTATTTATCACTCAAAAACGGGCCCTCGGAATATGCACTCCCTCACATTCTCGTGCGCACACAGCACCCTGGTTAGCATAACTTCGCAACCCTTACTATCTTTGACATAAATAAACTTCAAACTGGTATCTTCATGTACAAAATTTCATTCCATCCGCCTTTACCTTATGTATAGAACCACAGAGGCTTAACGTAGCTATTCTGTCTGATCCTGGCGTAATCGATATTTTCCTTTCACTCGCACCTCTTGTCTGTCCAAAGGCTGTTTCCTATAAGCCCTGCCCCCCACAGCCTCCACAACCCATTTACTCCATGATGCTTCTGCTGTTGGTTTCGTTGATTCGTGTTTTTACTAATCTATACATATTATTCAGTTTTTAATTATTTTCATGGAATTTGTTACTTTTTGTGCCCCATTCTGCCTAGTCCCTTTTACGAGTATGGAAAAAAATTTGAGTCGAATTGAATTAAACTGAATTTGAAAGGCTGCTTCTAGTCTTAGCAGTGCTATTACTGCTAACAGTTTGTTGACCTCTTGAGGAACCCGTTTGATTCCATAAAGGTTCTGTATAGCAGCCATTTCCCAGCAAGAGCTTTTGTTCCTAAGGGATACACACGAGTGAACCTTTTGTGCCATCCCTGCAGAACAAAAGCAGTTACCGGAAAGACGGCTGGCATACATTTCTGGTCAGCTGTGGTTAATCGTTTTTATTTTTTGTGACGATTCAGAATGAATTTATCAGACTGTACTACGCACGTATTGAGCCATTTTGCTACCTGTATAGTACAGATAATGAATCTGCATTACAATACAATCGTGACACATGAATAATTGCCTGTGACCGTCCACTGTAATGTAGAGTATTTCTGTCTCATGTGGAGCAGAACCGACGTGCGTTCGTACAAACAATTCTTAATATTCATAGCCTCACCGTGGAATAACCGTCATTATCCGCAAGGTGCATGCAATGGGCCATGTATTCGTGACTCATCAGGATAAAGTTTTCCACGGTTGGTTAGTAGGTTATTTTAAGCCTATTGCCACTATTACCAAAGCAAATGGTGTGCGTGCGATTATCTTCCCTGAACACACCTGGGTTACACCAAGGGAAGCCTAGAAATGAGCCTAATCGAAAGCTGCGCATGCGGTGTTTTCACCTAAGGGTGCACCACTAAAAATAAATTCCCATAGACAGCAGTGATAAATCCCCATACTTCACAAATATTTTAAAAATGCTCACGACTCTCACAGGTGTTCAGGCTGCACAGAAAAATGATATTT